ATAAAATATGAGTTATTAAGGATGTCACCTTCGTTTTTGAGTCCTGAGGTGACTAGAGAGGCTGATTTGGGACCGGCAGGACCATCCACAGATGTTGCATGTGTGGAGGGCTACATCTAGTGTGGGAAGGGCAGCGGCAGCATCTTTCCAGCATTGGCACTTGTCTGCCTCGGTCTGCAGTCGGACTAACTCGAAAGTCTTGACACCTTGTGTGGTGCTCCTCCAAGAATTAGGGTGTGGAGTGATCGTCTCCCAGATGAGGGGGTCAATTTGGCACTTTTTCAGGTTTGTCTTAAGACTATACTTATTTCTTTTCAGTGGCCTGCCAGCATTACGTTTACTATTCTTTAGTTGACTGTAAATTAGCTATTTTGGCAGTCGACTGTCGTCCATGTGGGTAACATGACCAGTCCAACTTAGTTGTTCATGAATAATGTTAGCCTCGATGCTCCTACAGTTGGTGTCAGCTAGAATACTGGCATTTGTTCTCTTGTCTTCCCAGCAAACTCGGAGGATGGAATGTAGACTTCTTTTACTTTTATCCTCTTCACCACTGATCGGCTCGTTAGCCGCTTGGGCAATTGGTCACGTCTCTTTACTTTTCCTTTTACTTTTATCCTCTTCACCACTGATCGGCTCGTTAGCCGCTTGGGCGATTGGTCACGTCTCTTTACTTTTCCTTTTCTTTTATCCTCTTCACCAAATGATCGACTCGTCAGCCGCTTGGGCGATCAGTCACGTCTCCGTTACGCACTGTTGGCAAGTACTGGGCATGCACCGGCTCCTGAATGTACCTGAACTTGCTCCAGTGTTGGTCAAGTCTGGTCTTGAAAGAGCTCACACTCGGTGCCGTCACAACACTTTCTGGTAGATTGTTCCAAGAGTTCACAACTCTCACTCCGAAAAAGTTTGCCCTCACAGTTTTCTGGACTTGCAGCTTCTTCAATCTTGAGCTGTGACCCCTTGTGAGACGAGCGTCCGCCAGCTCTAAGTAAGGACACTCGACTGAGTCGTGCCCCTTGAGATGCTTTTACACCTCAATTAGGTCTCCCCTTGCCCGTCTGTAGTATAGACTAGGCAAGTTCAGGCGCTCCAATCACTCAGGGTAGCTGAGGTGCCGAAGTGCAGACACCAGTCTGGTGGCCCTCCTTTTAACATTTTCAACCAACTGACTGTCCCAAGCATATCTCGGGGACCAGACCTTCTTATAAGACCCAATAATTTATTTGCCTGATTTACCTTCTTGCAATGGCCAGAGAACTTCAGCTCATTGTCAACATACACTCCTAGGTCCTTCTCACATTCAGTCTCAAATAATGCATTTTTTCATCCCGTTGGGACATATGATACACCTCCTTACCGTTGGTACGCCCCAGGTGCATCCTCTTACACTTCGTGACATTGAATCTCAGCAGCCATTTCTTCGACCATTCTTGGAGCCCACAGAGGTCTTTCTGCAGCTCTTCACAGTCAACTTGGTTCTTGATTTCCCGAAATAACTTGGCGTCATTGGCAAACATTTGTATGGAGGAGTGTACAACGTCAGGCATGTCATTTATGAAACAAACAAACAACAGCGGGCCCAATACACTGCCCTGTGGTACCCCGCTTGTGACAGGTACGGATGATGATTCTGTGCCATTAATCACCACACACAGCTTGCGATCATGTAGAAACTCTTCTATCCACGTTAGGACATTTCCCCGAATTCCGTACCCTTCCAATTTGATTTTCAACCTCTCATGGGGTACACTGTCGAAAGCGTTGGCAAAATATAGGTAAATATTGTCGATATTACCACCTCGTTCCAGAATATGGGTTCAAATATCCAATACCTTGAGCAATTGTGTTAAGCAGGAGCGCCCCGGCATAAAACTGTGTTAGCAATCCTTTACAAGGTTGTTTTGTAGTAGATGTTCCATTGCAGCATCTCTGATAATGCTGTCGAGTACTTTACATATTATGCTGGTCTGGCTCACCGGTTCTATAGTTGTTTCATTGGTGAAAGTTTTCAAGTGCCTTGAGGTGCCTCCTGTATGTAACCCAATTCTCACTGCCATATAGCAGGGTGGAGAGGACCACTGCTTGATATATTGCAACCTTGGAGATCATTTCAGCTCCCTACAGCAGAAGACACGGGTATGGAGTCTGCCAAAGGCTTGAGATGCACATCTGATCCAATGTTGAATCTCTTTTTCGATGTCCGCAGTAGTGGATAGGTGGGAGCCGAGATGCCGAAAGTGGGTATCATTAGAAAGGGTAGTACCATTAAGCTGGATGGATGGTGGTGGTGTGGCTGAACCAGGGGCAGGCTGAAAGAGAATCTGAGTCTTAGGTACTTTTACCTCAAGGCTGAAGTGTGCATACTCATCTGTGTAGGTGTTCAGGATATCCTGTAGATCACATTCAGTGTGAGCGACAAGGGTGAAGTCGTCTGCATACTGAAGTTCAGTAATAGAAGCTGCGACACCTTTTTTCTTGCCTGGAGTCGTCTCCTTTCATCTGGTACTGGATGTCCACCCTGCCGGCTAAATTGGCACTGGCATGAGGAAGGAAGGCAGCCAAGAAAATGGAAAAGAGTTGGTGCCAATACACATCCTTGTTTTACTCCCGTTTGGATGGGGAAGAACTCAGACTAGGTGCAATTGTGCAGGACACTGCCGTTCCTGCCATCGTAGAGTTGCCTCACAATGTCGAGGAATTTTGGTGGGGAGCCAAAACGGCTCAGGGTCCGCCAGAGGGCTTCCCTGTTGACTGAGTCAAGGGCTTTGATTAGGTCAATGAAGGCCATGTACAGGTCATGTCGCTGCTCTTTGCTCTTTTCCTGTTTCTGGCGGGCAGCAAAATTCATGTCAGTGGTGCCACATTGAGATTCTGGGAGGAAGTTTTCCACATTAGGAAGAAGTCTGTTTAGGAGGACTGGCGATAATCTTGCCAGCTACTGAAAGCAGCGAGATTCCACAGTCTGGCCGGTCTCCCTTGTTCTTATAAATATCGAGGATGGGGAGCATCTTTAAGAGCTTGGGGGATTTCCTCCTTTTCCCCTATATTCTCCAAGAGAGAGTGGAGACAGCTGGTAAGCAGAGGTCCTCCTGCTATATACACCTTGGGTGGGATTCCATCAGGCCCTGAGGTTTTGTTATTCTTGATCTGTTTGATGGCAGTAGCTACCTCATCCAGGGATGGAGGATAGCTGAGGTGGGTCAGCTCTGGATGCTGAGGGACTTGCTGGGTAGTCAGGACATCCACATCGGTGTTTCGGTTGAGCAGTGAAAGGTAGTGCACTTTCCAGCGCTGAAGGATGCCTTCATCTTTAATTAAGGAGTTACCTGTGGAGGGGGGCTGCATCATGAGTGATTGGCCCATAAAATGTTTTGGTGGAATTGAAAATTATGCACTTCTTGTGCTGATCTGCAAGTTTTTTTCAATTCACATGCTTTATTCTTAAACCAGTTCTTTAGATTGCGAAGTTCGCGCTGGACCGCCGCTTTCTTCTTGCGGAAGGTATCGGCTTTGGTCTGAGACTGAGGGTTGTTCTGTCAGCCAGTTAAAGCAGCACGTTTATCATCGACTAGTACATTGATTTTCGGGTCATTTTCATCAAAACAATCCTGATGTATTCTTTCGATCTGGCTGTAGGTCTCTCTGCAGGTTTTTGTCATGACTGTGTTGAGAATACCCCATTCGGCACTGGGATTTGGGTTGTTTGTTATCAGATTGATAAAAGTTTATCAGCCCATGTTTGAGCTGCTTTCTGAAAGCATGTGCTACCAATGGATCCTCCTAGATGCTTAGTGGTTAAAAAAAAAAAAAAAAAATATATATATATATATATATATATATATATATATATATATATATATATATATATATATATATATATATATATATATATATATATATATATATATATATATATATATATATATATATTCTGCTTGATGAAGGCTACGTCGGATAAAGCTAGGACAAGGCAAGGATTCTACAGTAATAATAATCTTGTCCTACAGGAAGCCAGCCGTAGTACTGCACCTTGTCCGCAGAGTTGCCAACTTAGCGACTTTGTAGTTAGATCTAGAGCTTTTAGTTTTGTTCTAGCGACATTTTAGAGAGATTTGCGACTTGTCGCAAATCTAGAGATATCCACAGAAATCTAGCGACTTTCTGGATACTTTTGGACTGTCCATGAAAACTCAGTTTTCCTAATTTCGAGCCATAATATATAGCAACGGGGTTACAGGGATAATAAATAATAAGAAAAGTTTATTACATTTGAACGGGTCTTGGTACAGAAGGAGGGACACGTCTATTTCCTGATCACTTGATGTCAGCCCGTCCATGGCTAATGTTGCCGTGTCGTCATTTATTTGTCTATTACCTTCGCCTTTGTAGCACCTGGGTAACTTACCTTTTTGTCAGATATGCAATATGAATTTCATTAATACGCTAAATTTTAAAGAATATTAGCAAAACATCTTATAGAATTAATTCTATCAAGCCTGCGTGGTTCCAAACTTCTCATCCGCGTCCACCATGGGTGACCCATAGACTCCATACAGTTGCCCCGACACTGTTCACCCGCTTTGCCAAAAAACATCAAGGAAAGTTTCCGCTTGTTTGCATGCTGTTTATTAATTTGAACCCTTCATAGTCCCAATAGAAAATGGGTAAGCCACAGTATTCGCAGCGATTTAGGAAGGAATGGCTCAGAGATGACAGATACAAAAATTGGCTTCTGGAGGTGCCAGGAGATAATAAAAAAGGATTTTGTAAATTTTGCAAGTGTACTTTGTCTGCTAAGTTGTGCGACATTGAAAAACACAAAAACACTAAAAAACACAAGAAAGCAGAAGAGCCTTTTAGTGCAGAAAGACAGACAATTTTACCATTCAAGAAACTTGGGAATAATAGCTAGCGACTTTCCATGGAAGATTTAGCGACATTTAGCTACTTTTAGGTACCAGCCTAGCGACATTTGAAAATCCGAGTTGGCAACACTGCTTGTCCGTCCGTCTGTAGTTGTAAACAGACCAGAGTTATTGGGGCTGTAGAGTACCGGCACCGGCTTTGACTGTGTCCATAGAAACATTTTTAATCCAAAGAAATATGACTCTAGTCCCTTCTACACTCTTCCGTTTCATTAAACAAATGAACTGTTTGACAAGATCTAATGCATCTATTAAAATGACAAACATCGCAACAAAATATATTGGAAACAATGGATGGAGGAATTCAGATTTTAATCGTAGATTCATATTTTCACACGCTACAGAAGACTACATTAAATTGATGGGCAAGGACTTGCATGTGAATCCAGGATTTGGAGTTCTCCACGCAAATGGAACTGTGGATTTACTTATAAAACCCACAAACCCACAGGTAATATTTATTGGGTAATAGGGAAGCAGACGGATAACACCAGAAGTTCAATTACGTAATTTTTTTCCACATGTACTTTGGGTGACGGTAATAAAAATGGGTATGTCTGAGATCAGCATTACTAGGGCATGAAGGATTAGGGAAATTGCAGGTTAAAACACGATAAAAACTTATATGACACTAAAATAATGTATCTATGTACGGTACGGGGTACGTGAAGAATGAATTATATACCGTAAATACTACTATGAAAAATCTGCAGAGTCAGCGTGTGTTGTCAACTCGGTTTGTGTGTAACTGACCTGCTCAGTCTGAGCATATTCTCATTTTCACAAATAATGTAAAATTACACCATGGTACTTTGGTAAAATTTTAGATTTGGGCGTCCCTGTATTTAGGTATCCAAACTAACCCAACCTAACCTAACCTAATGTAACTCTAACCTATCCTAATCTAGCATAATCAAACCTATATCTAACCTGACCAGGGGGCTTCTCCACCCCAGACCCCTCCGAGATTCCCTGGATGACTGAAACTTAAATAATACCGATACTTCAACGAAATTACTTCCAATGGTACCAGATAACATAACAAGTATGGTAAAGGTGTATTAGAGGGTGACCACCAGAAGGAATTGTTCTGAATTGGTTGAAATTTTTTCTACTCACTAATATGATATTAAACACAAAAATGGAAACGACAATGCATGGAACCTAATAGAACCTGACCTAACATACCCAACCTATGGGTTTGTTAGATCAGGTTCTATGCATTATCATTAATTTATGTGTAAAACAACTTACCTTAATATTGGGGTTGATATACATCAGCATTGGCGAGGAAGAATACGTGGAAGCATTCACCATCATTTAGAAACGTCTCTTGAAGAGGGATTCAGTGAGGTAAGCAACGAAAATGGCGCCGGGAGGAGAATTGTGAAGCGGGATAGAATAAATAAAAAGATTGTCAGGTTCTACTAGGTTCTATGCATTGTCGTTTCCATGTCTGTGTTTAATATTATGTTATTTGCATTATATATAAAGTAAATACAAAATAATGCATAGAACCGAATAAAACTTGGCCTAACATACCCAACCTATGGGTAGAATCTAATAGAACCTGACCTAACCAACCAAAGAAACCTACCTAATTTCCTAGCTAATGGCTCCACTCTCGGACCCCCCACTATATTAAATAGAAAGTACTTATTTTGATATCTGGTACTTACAGCCTGCCCCCCCCCACCCCCCACAAAAATGGGTGGGCTGCTGTGCTTCCCATGTTCCCCACCCACAACTTCTTGGACCCCCCTTTGAAGCCTATAGAATTGAAAAAAAAAGACAACCAAGCCAATATTAATGGCAATAAGACCCCCATGTGAGTCTCCGTCATTACTTGTAGGTGTTGACAATCACCAGAATCACACATTTATAGTTTAAGAGGGTACGTGAACACGCGACGCCACGGAAGAATTATGGCATATTTACAGTAAAAAAATTAGTTTTTCATCTACAAAGCATGTAGAGGCATGAAATTACTGCCATATGATTAGTTTCTTTTCATGTTTTACCCTGTAATTTCATGCCTTCTTTCAGTGCCCACTACAGGTGATTTATGATTGAAGATAAGAGAAAAATGAAAACAAAAAATGAAAGGGAAATTTTGTGATATCGTTTTTATTACTTAATACAGTACTGTGTTATCCAAACAACACATGTGAAAAATATGAACAAATTTCATAAGTAATTTCTGCTGTTTACTGTCTTCTCCACTACATGCATTACCAAAATTACTACTGTAGACAATTTACTGTACTGCTTATATATGGTTTCTGTATTTGTTATTGGCTTATATTCAAAGAATATGGCAAAAAAATCATGAAAACATGTTTTCGGATTTTAAGACTTGAGGAAGTACAGTACTTTTTTTTCATAGGAATATACAAAATCTTGATTTTATAATGGGATTCTTTGGGAAAATATTCTCTGATTTACAATGTTTTTTTTTTCAGGATTGTAACCCTTTCATAAGTCAGAGAATGCTATGTAAGATGAACTAACAAAACCTACCTATCTAATCTACCTGTGGTATCCTACAGTAGGATAGAAGTACAGGGTACATTACAGTATATTATTTTAAGGTTAGGGTATGTAAGTTCATTTAGTATAAGGTAGGTTGCTGGGAAGCATTACATTTCTTAGTGTTTTGCCGGTCACTGGGCAGCATTTTCCAAACTTTGAAGTGCAAACTTAGCATCGTTAGGTTGACGAAAGTCATGGAGTGATTTTACAGGACAGGTATTTGTATGGGAAAACTAAGGGGAAAGAACAAAAATATGAAAAGTTCAATTCCTTTACCCATTTTGGGATGCTTTTGAGGGCACAACTAAGTTTCCTTCTGTAGAGATTCTTCTTTAGATTTCTGGTTAACTTGGACTGCTCTTGTGAAGTGTGTAATACACAACTACAATGGTCCTTACTTAGTGAACTCATGTTTCCGCCTTGGTACACTTCTTGGAAGTTTCTTGCAATTTGTTACAGAAAGCTAAAGGATCATTCCCAAGAGTTTTAATAAATGATGATATTTACCAAAATTCATGTTTCAGTAACTCACAAAAGTTACGGCAGCAACACACTGTTGTGGTGCCTGCTGCAGTTATACTTTATTATCAGTAATATAAATGTAGCAATTTTATATGGTCAGTAAGGGTAAAATTCTCTCGTTAAAAGTTAAATACCAATATATTAAATAAAGATTGCATAAAAGGCAAAAGGAGAAATGATTGCAGTTATATTACAATCTCATACAGACCGTGCAGTGAGTAAGCTTAATTGTATCAAAAGTGCAATAAGATGTGCTTATTTTGTGTCACTTTTGATTTTATCTATGTGATCAAAGTATAAAGCTTTAAATATAATTTAGCTTCAGTGGTAATACAAAGTATGTTATACTGTACATTTTATGTATGGGTATGTTTGTCAAGAAACTAAAGTCTCATATGTATTGTACAGTTATTTGCAGCTTTACACGTCTAACTGTTACCAGTTACTTTACATACTTTTTACATTTACTCTTGGACAGAATGTGTGTATTTACCCCAGTGAGAAGACTGGCTCTCAATCTGGGCCTGGTGTGGGGGAAATACACATGTTAGGTACATGATAGTTGTACAGTATTAACTTATTACACATTTTCATTAATTTCACTCTTACAAAGAATCCCTTATAATTCATAGTTTCTTATTAAACCCCTGCAGGGGGCTCCATAATATGGTTCCATGGCCCTGCTAACTACAGGTTGAGGACCACTGCTTTACAGTATAAAATTTTATCTTTTCAGGAATATCCTGATGCAGATCGAGCATTTATTAACATTTATGGACTACCCACTGTCTCCTGTGAAGGTATTAATGTTGAACTAATAGGAGAATTGAAAGATGTTCTCGTGATAACTGCAACCCCAGAGTCATCTAAGATATTCTGTGAAGTACAAATACCAATCAAGTATGGTAAGCTTTTAACTTGTAGCTAAGTACAGTACAGTACTTGTACTGTACAGTAGTCTCAAAATTATCCATTGTTAACTTTACTTATCAGTCTTTATAGATTGAATAATTATCTTAGTATTGTAAATGGTTGTTAGAAATAAAATACTGTAACTTTTTTTTTTCTTTTTTTTAATTATTTATTGGGCACCTCCCTACATCCTTGTGTAAGGTGAAGCACAGAAGTGTTTACAGTGTCCAACAGGGAAGCATGCTAAGTTCATGCTTGCCTTTATGTCTCATGAGTTAAGAGCGTAGAAGCCTGAAGAGTCAAGGGTGTAGAAGCCTGAAGAGTCAATGGTTTATGTCATCAAGTTATTGGAAGCTCCAACAACTCCCTGAATATGAATTCGCAACTTTCGACTTACAACAGGTACCTACTTTACTGCTAGGTGAACAGGGACTAATGGGGGCTAGGAAGTATGTCCAAACAACTTCCACCGGCCCGGGAATCGAACCCGTGACATCTTGCTTGCGAGGCAAGAGCGATACCGCTTCTACCACCGGCCCCTCACTGGTTGTATTAAACAGCACGGTACAGTACGCATTATTTTATGAATATCATTGCCTTTACGCAAAAATTACTATTGAATGTAAGGAATGGTAATTACTGTAGTACAACATAACTGATATACCGGTATACCATCTCTGAACTCAAAGAACTAGATTTATATACCAGTCGTCTTTTGCCTAAATTTCTCAGTACAGCTGTGCAGGCAGTACACACCCAAGTTACGAATGGGTTACATTCCTGAACCCTGTTTGTAAGTCAGTCTGTTCGTAAGTCGGAACTGTGTTAATTCCATAGTTTAGGTTAGGTTAACCCATTCACCGCATAGTCTGATGTCATAATTACCCTGTATTCCCAACAAGTGTCACCAAAAAAGGAAAGTGCTAATTTGAGCTATTTTATTACTTTATTGCTTTATTCCTTTGAAATATGGGCAGCTTCTGTTGTCAAAATTGCCTCCAGAAGCATGGCTCATGTCATACAATCATATTATTCATCGCTGTAGATTCTAACCACCTCTTGAGGTCCAATATTGGTACCTCGCCTGGAATCATTTTGGGTGATATAAGGGGGCGGATTTCTGATTAATCTTTTCTTATTAATTTATCCCACTGCTGTTAACTTTTAAACTCTTCAACCTTTTTTTTTCTTCTCTCTCTTTCTTACTTCAGTAAGTACAGGTATAGATATTAGTTGTACCTTAGTTATGTTACTTCTTCTAGTTATTCCATAACCTCTGACCTTTGGTAGCATTGGCTCAAGGGTTAGGACACATGGGTATACTGTAATTCTGGTATCAAGCTATGGAAGAGAATGAAGGTAATTACTGCGGGAAAATGATACTCCTAACCTACAAATAAAATGGTTTATTAAATTGAAGTTATATTTTAAGAATACTTCCAGTAACACTCAACTACAGGATCCACTCCCTGGCTCGACTCTTCTGCAATTCCAATTAGCTACAATCTCCACTTACACCATTACTGGATGTACATTTAAAAGAACACACAACATTATAATTTTACATCTGGCACACTTGAGCACCAGCAATACAAGGTACCTGACCTCAGCTCTTAATCAGTCACAAGACTTTAGGAACAATCAAAACTTATACTTTAACACCATCAGGGTTGGTAGATTGTCTCCTTTATATTTCTACATTCGCCAAGAAATAAGTGGCGACCTCATACTCATGCTGTCTCCACACACACCCATACAACTGAAGAGATACCCATATGGGTACTCGGATGAATAACACAGCCTCAAAGCAATCTTTACTTAGAGGTGAACTCAAAACAAACAACACTGCTACTGTGATCTGGCTGTGTGTACACTGTTGCGTAAGCTCATCAGGGATAGGCAGTAAATAGCATGCGTCTGGGTGGCTAGCTAGCCTGGCTGGGCTGCTGGAGTGGCTGGCTGGGCCGCTGGGATGGCGGGTTAGCCTGGCTGGCTGAGCCGCTGGGGTGGCCGGCTAACCTGGCTGGCTGGGCCACTGGGTTCCAACAGGCCAACACCTCCGTGTATATGATGCTACCCGGTCTCAGTGGTTTTCCTCCATTTCCACTACTATGGTTGGAGGTTGTCCTAGCCTATAACGACCACTCTTGGCCTACAGGAATCTATGAACAGGATTGGGGGTTGTGGCTGAATGTGTGTTGACACGAATGTCATACGTTTTTAAAAGTTGAAGGTGCCAGAACACTTTACTTAAAACACATTAAAGTTACATTACTGGATCACTTGCATATTCAAATAAAACACAACTACGTCAAGTCACTTCATAGGACTGGGTGACACGGAGTATCAAACATACCTGTGAACAGGATGGGGGGTCGTGGCTGAATGTGGGCTTGGGACAGCTCAGATGCTTCCCGCCAACACTCACAACCCCGTGTTGCCACTTACACAGATATAACACAAACTCTGTGTCTCCGCACATTGACGGGTGAGAATCAGACTACGAACTCATTTTAATTTACTAATGTTAACTTGTCAACCTCAGCAATGACTGAGCTGCCAAAGATTAGAATTAAATTGATTTCAAGTTTCAGAATGGCAGTCATTGTGGGCGCGGCTTATAACAGAGGATCTCAAATTACTTCCCGTTTGATGCTCAAGATAAAACAAGTGACACTTCCCTTCAGGATGATTAATGAGTTTCTAAACTAGATAATTGACAATACTTTCAATACAAATATCAGATTCTCTGATGTTCACAGATCAAAAGGAGGTAACTTCAGCCTTAGTTAGCAACTCCTAGCAACACCAATGTACAGATGTTCAACTTCACGCACAAACACACAAACTGTCTGGATTGATGCTGGATTTTCCAGACTTTTAAAAATATTTCTGGTGATTAGAGGGGCAGTCCGAAGCACCTCAGAGAGTCTGATAAAAGCGAAGTCTGATGTATAAAAGTTCTACTGTACAATATTTGTTTCTTATGATGTGTTTAGTTGACCATCTGTTGAACTGTTCTTCATCTTCATATATCTTTTCCAGATCTTGATGTAAAGTTGCTTGATGATGCCTCTGTACAGATATTGGGGATGGAGGCTGATGAAGTAAATGTGTCAACTGTAAACGGCGAAATAAATACCCATGGGCTCAAAAGTCATAATATTCATGTTAACACTGAACATGGTCACATAACATCTGAAGGTACTATGCAAGGAAACATCTTCATTAATGCTAAAACAACAGTAAGTGCAATTTTACTGTATCTTTTTTACCCATGATGGATTAGAAGAGGTATAACTGAGAGTCTGCCCTCTGGAGGACAATGTAAATGATGAGTGACATAATTATACTTAAACAAGACTACCTAGTGGTTAGGTGTTCTAAGCATAAATTTATTGATGTGTGTGTGTGTGTGTGCATATGAAAGAGAGATGAGGTAAATTCATAAGGGGATCATAAATCTCTGTATGAGTAAGGGAAGCTACATTATGAACTGTAGTTATGTTTAATGGTTCTGAGATTATTCAGTCTTGCTTACAGGGAGTCTCAATAATTTGCATTTTTAAATTCACAGGTGCTTATGTTACTATTTTTTTTAAATTTCATGGCCGAACGCTGGCTGCCGCATTGCTTATTTACATAAGAAACCATAAAAGTCGTGGAAATTTAATTTTAATGCTCTAATTTGACTTATAAATAAAGAAAATATAGTATGTATAAATACTGTACCACTTCAATGCTCTAATGAGACTTAGATATAAAGAAAATACAGTAAACTCTCACACTTCCGGACCTCTTAGATCCTGATTTCAGTTGGTCTGGACAATGTCTGGATGTGGCAAATTCCTATTTGGTCTCTCTCCCTCAGTCCGATTGCCATGTTTACTTCCCAGCTGCTAAAATAGACCCCAGTCCGCATCTCCCGCCACTAATCACAGTGCATGTCTCTCCTCAATCTCGCTTGTAGTCTTGGTGTGTACACACCATCTCGCTACCTCTCAATTGCGCCCTTTTATTGTTCCTCGTGTATTTTGTGCCTTGTGACTGTTGTGTAGTGCTTACTGTAGCTCAGAAGCTGGAATTGTTACAGAAGTTAGAGAGTGGTTGGTTTGTAGCGAGATGCTGTAGCAAATATGGCGTCACTAAGCAAATGGTGACTGATATACAAAAGGCTAAGGGTTCCTTGCAGTCATTTGCAATGAAATATAGTCCTGATTCTTCAACCTGTAAGACGATTGAAATTAAAAGGGGTTAAGCTAAAATGATACGCTATTGATATACAGTAATACTGTCTATAGAGTAATACACTAAGACTGTATAATTATTATTACATTGTTGTTATTACTGTATTATTATTTAATACCATTATTACTATTATTAGTAATACAGTACTGTATTATTATTGCTATTGTTATTACCCATGTTAATAAAGTCCATGTACAATGTTATGATTATCATTAACGCGCCTTCGTCCCCCGGTTTATCCGGTCATTTGCCGGAAATGCGAAGGTTTTTTGTATAATATAAATCTAAGAAACCCTAAAATAAAATAAAAAAACATTAAGTGTAAAGTGAATGACAGTACAGTATGTGTTGAGGTGGAGGTAAAGCAGTTGGGTGGTGGACTGAGCTCCCTCCTTGTTCCTGAGCACTAGTCACCCTCTGACCTCCTTAATATACAACATTATCGTAAAATAATAAATTTTCCCTCAAAAATTCCCACATTCAACCTCAGATGAGTTATTATGTGGTGCAGCATTAAATTCTTGGTGTTTTGTTGACTTAGTGTGATCACAGCCAGCATGGCTCCTGCTTTTATGGATATTGGCATAACTCACAGGATGATTAGGAGAAGGGAAGGAGCTGTTTATGTAATGCAGAACTAATTTTTGTACAATATGTGTTACTATTTTTTTATGTATTGTGTATGATGTTTAGTGTTTATTAAAGCAGTTTTGGAACAGTTTATGGGTATTTCTTGTACTCTGGGACTAAACTAATTATTTCAGTTTAAATTAATTAAACTATAATTTGTGATTTGACAATTCATGATGTCTTCTGGTACCTAAACCATAAATTATCGCAACTCCACTGTGCAACACATCATGATTTATTGCCAGGAGTGATGATGTTCTGTTTGTTATCACATGTGTAAAGCAATGATTAAGTCTTTAAATTTATCGATTTGAAATTTTTGCAAATGCTGTTTGCTGATCTTTTTGAGTCTGGTCTAGGTTTATAGGTAACTGGGGTGACAAGTCTCTTGGTTCTAGGCTAGGGGCATACTATCTCTTGCACAGTACAGTACAGTATACTCTCAATTTAACGGAATCTGATATAACGAACTCTCGTTTTAGTGAAAGGAATTTTTTTCCATTATTTTTCGATCGATTTAGTGAACTAGTTCACTAAATCAAGATCAATTCTGTTAATATGCTCACACCTACAGAGACACCTCAGACACATGATATGTACAGTACATAGAACAAATAGAAACATTATTCATGGCTTCCCTTAAACTAGGGGGTTCGGTGTTTGTTTTCAATTTTGTTTTATTATTTCCAAACTTTTTCCAATTGATAGCTGCGCTCTTTTAACTTTTCCCCCCACACCACTTCCTTTCTGAGACTTCTGAGAGACTTTCGGCACGATGTCTAAGCACAGTAGTTAGTTGACCGAGAGGTAGACCTAGAGGTAGCAGTGAACAACATGCGGTGGCGGCAAGACACCCTGAGCAGATGTAAACAAACCACATGTCCAAGTAGCTCATTTGGCACAACATTTAATGAAATCACACACTATTTACTAAACTAAATCGAGGAAAAATACGTAAATTCGATTTAGTGGAAATTTTGATTTAATGAAAAGGGGTGGCTCAAATTAGTTCATTAAATCAAGAAAATACTGTACCTGACTCTACATTCACTTATTGTTGTTTACAGGCAAGGACTGGGATTCATGCCTGTGAAATACTAAGTGCAGGTTTGGTTTTCCAGGTTTACTGGTGTCAAAGACTTAAGAATTTAAAATTTAAAATGAGCGTTTGGCTCAGGAAAATGAGAAGAGTGCAGGTTTCGGTGATTGGATAGGGAGTACAAAATTGGGCTCTTATCAGAAAAATTAGGTGCCTTTGTTTAGAGTCTTTGGTAAACGAAGTAATAAAATGTTCTAGATATATTGGATATTAATAAGGAGTCAAATTGCATAACTCCTGCTATGCTTTATTAGACAAATTCGGGTGTCTGTTTTACCTCAAGCCAAACGGATCCATGAAACCTTCAGGATAACAATTTAGTATTGTAACTCCACACCCCTTTCATTTGCTTACCAGATCTGTGAGTTGTTCATTGACCTTTCTGCTTAGTTTTGTCTCTCATTGAGAGATGTAGGTGGGATTATGGTCCCTGCACTAGTATAGTGCATAAAGCAGGAGCATATTCACAATTCTGTACAATCCTTCATTTACTAAGGGGAGGTGGGAGGAGACAACAGCTAGGGACTCCAAAGACCTTTAATCGGGTGAGCTGTTAAGGATAGAACCAAGGAAAATATATCTTTTTGTTCAATGCTCTCAATGCGACGCTCAGCAATGCTACCTAGGTATGTTAATTCCTAGCCAATTCGCCAGGCCAACATACGAGCAATTAAAACATCTAATAATTACTTAATCAGTATTTTTTTTTCTTTTTGTTTTACGGGGATTAGCCCACCTGGGCACAGGTCACTGACCCACATCGGGGCTTGGGGGGCAAAAATGTAATAATAATAATAATAATGATGATGATGATGATGATGATGATGATAATAATAATAATAATAATAATAATAATAATAATAATAATAATAATAATAATAATAATAATAAAGAACCATAAAGAAATGCAAAATTTAAAAAAAAAATCTAACGTGAGAAACAATATACTGTACCTATGTATATTGTGTTGTCAATAGTAAGAGATACAATTGAGACCCTGCAATTGTGTGTAAATGAGGCAGAAAGTCAGATCAGCAACCTGGGACTTGGTCACAATTTTCGTGAGTGATGCCATATGGCAGCAGGGTCTACCATTAGACAAGACATTATGCTTCCATTATCTTCCAAGGCGGTAGTACCTCCCTGTTTGGTAGCTGCCTATCTACCTACTATCTTGGCTCAAGGCATCTAAAAAAGTCATTTTGTGGAGCTTGTATGAAGGGATATTCAGAATATTTCTTCCCCTTCTGTTTTTCTAAGTCATGAAGGAGTCATAGCTCTGATTGAGGAGTCAACTCTGAATCAGAAGTTTCTCTTATTTCTGTGTCAACATGTATATTGAAGTACAGAACTGTAGTCTGTGGCTATGCAAGATTAATATGTATGCCTTAATAAGTTAAGGACAATCTCACAGATCATGACTTCATTTCTCTTCAGCCTTTAAATAGGTTCTCATCAGCTCAGTCCAATGTTTTATTACCATAATGATAATTAATCCACCCATGGCCTTTGGAAGAGCTGAAGGGCCCAGATCCTATCTAGATCAAATTATTCAAGTACTGTATGTATGTAAAGTATTTAATTTAAAGAAATATAATGTCTGTTTTATTTTGCAAGGAAATTCACTTCATGTGTAACTATAATTGAATTACATAATTTTATAGTTCTGCAGTACAGTATTTGAATATTTTTCCTTTTCACCCACAGAAATTAAAAGCAAAAAGACTTCAAGGACTTATTTTAGATATTGAAGCTGAGGAGCTAAGTACTGCAGTTGAGTCGTCCTACATGAACCAGGGTCAAATATCAGCCCATCGAGGAGATATTATTATCAATAATCTTCATGGTTGTACAGATTTATTGATCAAACAAGGTCAAGTTGTTATCAGTGAGTACAGAAGATTATTATTTTATTATTGTAACAGTAATAAAATGGATTTTTTCCTCCTAAATTTCACTTCGTAGCACCCACTAGTGGGCTTGGCATTCTCTAACAGTAGGTTACATGTCCACTGAATTTTTGTAAGTCCTGGAAATACCACATTACATATGACATATGAATGAACCAGTGTCTGAGCAAAACCACACAGGGTCCCCAGGTTACAAACGGGTTCCGTTCCTGAGGACGTTTCTAAGTCGGAACACATGCTATATGTATCTGTACTATTTTTTTTATGGGAAATACCCCACCCAGGCCAGTCTCTATTGGAATTAATCCCATATATATATATATATATATATATATATATATATATATATATATATATATATATATATATATATATATATATATATATATATATATATATATATATATATATATATATATATATATATATATATTAGCATATATATATATATATATATATATATATATATATATATATATATATATATATATATATATATATATATATATATATATATATATATATATTCAACCCTCGCTTTTCTGCGGTCCCACTTACTCTTTTCCCCGCGTTTACGTGGTACCTGCGAAACCGGAATGCTCACTTTCATGAGTGTGTGTGCCCTTTAAATTAGGCGCGAGCAGGGTCTGCTAAGTAAGCCCAGTCATCAAAACATTACCGAGTTCTTCACCCGCCACCCACCACAGCCGACCCAAGTCAGTGATAGTGATAATGATAGTGAGGATATGAACTTATATGGACTTTGAGGGGTTTGACAAAGAGGCCCTGCAAGCCTCTGTGGTGGATAGTGATATAATTGATACAAGTGATACAGGTGAGGGCCAATAATCTGCCCTCTGCCTCAGAACCAACACCCCATCCCCGTGTGCCCAGCCATCTTTTCTACTAATGTAAATGTTAAAAAACCTAATATTATTGATATTTCTCTCAATTATTAATTGTGTGTGCATACCATCATAAAATTAAGAAGTTATTTTTACTACAAAGTACTGTAGGTATTGTGTCTGAAAAAGTGGAGTTTGGGGGTCGGCCCGGTATCTATTTCAATTAATCCCATATGTTATGTTGTTCACTTTACGCGTTTCTCACTTTACGCGGGCTGCCGGGGGTTGAATTAATCGCGTAAAGTGAGGGTTCACTGTGTGTATATATATATATATATATATATATATATATATATATATATATATATATATATATATATATATATATATATATATATAAAAGGGTAACGCAATTGCGTGGGTGGGGTGGGGGTGGTTGCCAGATACAGTACCAAAATACAACCATAGGACCCATCAGAGGAAGATTCCACATGCATGTACTAACGTTATTATAGACCATATATGTATGGGACGACCAAGAAAGCCAATGACTTTCTTCCCATACATATACGGAATGACCAGCTATAGGGTAAGTGTTCAGTAATACAAGTATACTTTATTAAATTATTAAATAATCGAAGTACAGGTACATAACTACCCAGTATGTATTTTCTGCCACCATTATTTCCACATACCCTAATGTGGGTATGTGAAGTGAAAATGCTGAGATTCTACTGCAGTTGAAATACAGTAGTGACATTTTATTGTGCAGTACAGTTTTTGTATTTTCTTAAAAATCAGTTTTTAATAGGGATGGCAATAAAAAGTTCATGATGCTTGTACAGTACTGTACAGTACTCAGATTCTGAAGAGTGGAGATTTAGGAAGAGTGCAGGTGCAAAAATTCATATGTAATCTGCCATTACATATGAATTTTTGTACCTGCACTATATTCCTAAATTTACATAAACTTCCTTGATGTGATATCTTCTCTTTGCAGCTGGATTTCATGGCCAGATTTCAGGCTTTGTTGGATCAGGCAAAGTTGATGTACATGTTACTGATGTCACAGGAAACTCAACACTTCACTTAAATGAGGGAAGCTTGGTGCTTTCAGTTCTTGAGAACCCCAGGTGTGTTATGTGCAATTTTTTTCTTCTTGCTTTGCCAAAGATCATAATGCAATATGATTTTAATTTCTGTAAATACAATACAGTATAGTATTATAGTTATGAAATAGCATGGTTGCTTAGTTACCTGGTAGGTATTATTGGTATTTGTCATGAATATGGCTGCGAAAAGAATACTGTAAATCCTGTTTCTGTGATCTCCAAGTTCATAATGTTGATATATCATGATGAAGGAATTAAGACAATAATTTCCAAGTCTACACCACCAAAATTTATTAAGTCATTATAGGCATAGATGATATGAGGAGTTCGGGACAAAAACATAGCACAGTACTTCTGTATAGGTAATTTCATTTCCATGTAATAATTCCTCGTTCCACAGAAGATCCTTGGAAGATTAAAGAATAAATGTGATTTTTGTGTCCTATTATTTGTTTAATCAAATACTAATCATAAAGTATGTTTCAAGGCACTCATCTCAGAAGTGAAGGAATTTGTGTGGTTGTAATTTTCAGATGGAAAGAAATTTAACAGATAACAGTAAGTCACCAGCCTATGTGAGAGTGACATCATAATAAGGCAGACTTTTCATTACTAAACTGTAGCAAGTCTCATAATTCTGAGTTGTAACTAAGAAAGAATATAAGATTGATTGGTGTGTCGAGTATGAAGTGTTGAGTTACATATTTTATTTTTGTGTTGTGTACTAAATGTTTTATTTTTCTCTACTTTCAACACTCAGGCATGACCTTGAGGTGACAGCCACATCTCTAGATATTAGCAAAGAGATTAAATCAGCAGGAACTACAGCATCTGGAAGCAGTCAGACTTTTAACTTAGTAAAAAATGACAATGCAGAGGCAAGTATACTGAAAGCCACAGTATTAAACGGATCAGCTCAAGTAAAATACCAGGATTGGTTTTCTACTTTAGGGATAAAGATGTAGGCACAATGTAAACTCACATAGTACATGTAATTAAAGGATAATTAGGATCACCCTTGAAACAATTTCCTTTTACCAATTACTCTAAGGAAGTTTATGTTGTGTTGGAAAGTCATTATAGTGAATATAATTGTGATTTCAATTGAATGAACTTCTTTAATTCTTCTCAGAGTTTCTTATTCATCCTTGTAGTGATGCTGACCTGCAGGGTTGTTGTTGGTTTTTTTTTAAGAAAATGGATAAATTTGTACTTGGAATGGTTTGGGGGAGGCGACTTTATTATCATTGTACTACAGACATGGGCATGAGGAATGGGTTCCAATAATTTGAACCAAATTTTTTTAGCAGATTTCATGCTAATATTAAAATACAGCAGGAGATTCAAATTTATTTGAATCCAAAATGATTTAAATTATGACAAAATCATAAACATACTGCATACAGTAGTACAATATACATTCTGTACTATAGTAATTATCTGATTCTCCTGTTTTCTCCAAAGCATTTTTTGGGATGTTTATCAATTATGGCAATGCTATACAGTATGTGCTCCTTTACAATTGTATTGGTTAATATTAACTTGTTTATCCAATATTGTTTACATACATACCATAGAAATTCACATTCAGTATTTACAAATATTAAGAATGTAAGAATACTTTTATACAACCCTCACTTCTGGCGGTCCCATTCATGGGTTCCAGTTCTTGGTGCCCTGCCAGAACCCAGGATGCTCACATTCCGTGGTGGGTGTACCCCTTTACTTTGCACGGGTGAAGTATAATTTTTTATTTAGCTCATAAAATTCATACAAATTATCCGGCCAGAATATAATTTACATTGCTGGAATTCTTACAATTTGATGATCATTTTGAATAAAAACATCATAGATTTTGCATTAGACATACAAATTTTAGATATAATGTTTACTCTGAGTAAATATGTTATCTTTTGTGCAAAATATATGACATTTATATTCAAAATATTCCTGATTTTACAAGGAATCCAGCAATGTCAATTATATTATCGTAACTTTAATCTGAGGTATTATTTAATACTAAATGTTAAAATCTAGTTTTTCACCCAACATTTCTCTTGTAGGGAGGGTTGGTGGGGGGTTTGGGGGGAGGGTTGGGACGGACCGACCATCTGGCGCAGTTGGAAGAGGGGGGGAGGCAAGGTGGGGTACTTTGATTGACAGATAGTGTCGTGAAGAATATTTTTTTTATTATTAACTGAAGATATTTGTTTTAGCTCATAAAATTCATACAAATTACCCGGCCAGAATATAATTTACATTGCTGGAATTCTTACAATTTGATGATCATTTTGAATATAAACATCATAGATTTTGCATTAGACATACAAATTTTAGATGTAATGTTTACTCTGAGTAAATATGTTATCTTTTATGAAAAATATATGACATTTATATTCAAAATATTCCTGGTCTTACAAGGAATCCAGCAATGTCAATTATATTATCCTAACTTTAGTTTGAGGAATTATTTATTACTATACCTGGTTTTCCCCCCAAAATTTCTCAGAGGGAAGAGCCAGGGAGTGTAGTGTGAGAAGAGGGGGAGGGAGTCAGTCCATTATTTGAATGGACATTAACTTGGCAACTGTATTTCTCTATTTCTCTTAAGTATTAATTGTGTGCATGTACCATCATAAAATTAAGATGTTATTTTTACTAGAACATAGGTATTGTGTTGGAAAAAGTGGAGTTTGGGGGTCAGCTGGTCTCTATTTCATTTAATCCCATATGTTATGCTATTCACTTTACGCGTTTCTCACTTTCCGCGGTACCCTGTGGGTTACATTAACCGCATAAAGTGAGGGTTGACTATATATATATATATATATATATATATATATATATATATATATATATATATATATATATATATATATATATATATATATATATATATATATATATATATATATATATATATTATATATATATATATATATATATATATATATATATATATATATATATATATATATATATATATATTATATATATATATATATATATATATATATATATATATATATATATATATATATATATATATATATATATATATATATATATATATATTTTACCCCTTTCGCAGCGTTTCCCACGTTCTGTGATGCCACGAACACAAGTCACTCACTGCAGTCGTGTGCTCTGCAGGCTGACTGCGTGGATCTCTTCGGCAGCGCCATTTTTGGATTCAAACCTCCCGCCATGTTGGGTAAGCGGCGCGAGTAGGTTGCGCAGTGTATGTCTTTGTTGCGTTATCGGTGACGTCATATGATGTATCGGACTGTGATTGGGCCAAGCATCCTTTTCTCCCTCCCCCGCTAGCTGTGATTGGTTTAATGTATACTATGACGTGCCCTGCCGCGGGAGCGTTCAAGCCCCTTGACCTACGCACGTGAACTGTATGCTGCAGTGTCACGTAAGATGGGAATTGCAGAGCCCAAACCCTTCAATGCTTCCTCTGGGTGGTTGCAGAGGTTTAAGAAGAGGAACAAGATCACCAACATTAACATTGGTGGTGAAGAAGCTAGTGCTGACCGTGTTGCGGCTAGGGATTTTCCTCCGTTTTTACATGAGATTATGGAGGAAGGACAGTACACCGACGACCAGGTGTTTAACATGGACGAATCTGGTCTTTTTTGGAAAAAGCTACCTTCCAAGACCTTCGTTGTGAAGAATGCCAGCAAGTGTCGGGGCCGGAAGTTGCAGAAGGAGCGCATCACCGTCCTGTTTACCACCAATGCCTCCGGTACCTGTAAGCTCAAGTTATCGGTGATCCACACAGCACGCAAGCCACACGCCTACAAGAGCATAGACATGACCAAGCTAAATGTCCACTGGCTGACCGCAAGTAAGGCGTGGATGTTCTCTACTCTGTCCCTCTCCTGGTTTGATGACTGTTTCGTTCCCGACGTGAAGAAATTCTGTGAGCAACAGAATGTTCCTTTCAAGATTTTGTTGCTGCTTGACAACGCACCAGGACACTTGCCCCTACTGTTAGATCGTCACCCCAACGTAAAAGTGGTCTTCCTTCCTCCCAACACTACGTCATTAATACAGCCCATGGACCAAGAATTGATTTGTAATGTGAAAGCTGCATTCTCTGCAAAGAAGTTTAAGCTCCTGAACGACTACACCAACACCAAGGATGAGTTGCGTAACCTGGGTGACACGGATAGCAAGAGCGAAGACGATGAGGAACAACAGTTGGCAGAGCAAGAAGTACTTGTGAAACACTTTTGGAGAAAATTCAACGCTAAGAAAGCTGTGGACTTCTTGGTGGAGGCATGGGATTAGCTGTCTGTAGCAACGGTTCGTCACGCATGGAGACATGTGTTGCAAGGTATTCCAGGTGGAAGGCAGAGTAAATCTGTGACTGGTGAGGTTCAGACTGTTGCAGTAGCAGTGGACCTTGCCAGAGAAGCTGCGCAGAGTGTTACAGCTGCAGGCTTCTCCAAGACCACCAACGACGACATCCTGGAGGTGATAAGGGATCCTGATGTGACTACCGATGAGATGGTAGATGATGATGACGTCAGTGAAGAGGCAGGTGGTGCGTCATCCCAAGAAGAACGCCAGTTATCCCATAGTAATGTAAGGGGTGCCATCGAGTGTATTGAGAAAGTCACGCTCCTCCTTTCCGACGACCCTGACGCTAACAGGTATGAAATCTTCACTACCCAGCTGTTGCAGACTATGGAGCCCTACATCAAGGTTTATCACGACAACATAAACACCAGCCGTCAGCAAAGCATAACCAAGTTCTTCGCCCGCAACCCACCACAGCCAGCCCAAGCCAGTGATAGTGACAGAGGCAGAGACAGTGATGATGACTTTGAGGGATTTGTCAGGGAGGCACTAGTAAGTGTGGATGACAGCGATGAAGACTCACCTGAGGGCCAGTAGCCTTCCCTCTGCCTCGGAACCAGCCTCCATTCCCCTACGCCGACCCATCTCTTCTACTAACGTAAGTGTTAACCCCAACCTTGTTTTTTTCTAACCTAACCTTCAGTATATTATTCTCTTATTGATTGTTCCCTTCTATATTATGTGTGTGTGAATACCATCATAAAGTTAAGATGTTATTTTTAGTAAAACATACGTATTGTGTCAGGAAAAAGTGGAGTTTGGGGGTCGGCCCGGTCTCTATTTCAATTAATCCCATGTTATGTTGTTCACTTTCTACGTTTCTCGCTTCATTTGTACGATGGTTCAATTGACAGCGTAAAGTGGTTCATAATGTATATATATATATATATATATATATATATATATATATATATATATATATATATATATATATATATATATATATATATATATATATATATATATATATATATATATATATATATATATATATATATATATATATATATATATATATATATATATATATATATATATATATATATATATATATATATATATATATATATATATATATATATATATATATATATATATATATATATATATATATATATATATATATATATATATATATATATATATATATATATATATATATATATATATATATATATATTAGGGTGTGACAGTTGTCCTCCAAAAATAAAAAAAATGGTCCTACAATGCTGTTCAAAGTTTTAGTGTTGTGTATTTATCTAGGAAACACCCCTGGGATATTGGGTAATTGGTTCCAGCTCACAGAAAAGTACATACAAAGTAAAAAAAAAATGCAGTAAAGTACACTTACTTTAAGGTGTGTATGTAGAAGGTTCCTGGTTAATGATGATGATGAGAATTAGAAGTGGGGGTGGAGGAGAAGGGAGAAGAGAAGGAAGTGGGGATGGAAGAGAAATCACCTTTCAGGGGACTCATGTTTGATGCAGTAATTTCACCAATAAAATTTTAAGTTTACTAGGTGTAATTCAAGATTATTTTATTTAAATCAACACTGCACTGCGCTATATATTATCAATATCTTAAGTAAATTTCAGAATGATCAATACTTTTAATGAAACTCCAGCTGCTAGCCCCAGAAAAAGAAAACCAGCCGCTAGTACTAGCCGATAGCAAAAAGTGCCAGTACAAGTGCCCCTGTGACGACACCTTTACAATGCAAGCTTGCCAAGGTCAATTTCACTAAATTTAGGAGTTAAATTATGTAATTTTATCCAAGATACCATAGATCAGCTTGGTAAGAAAACCACTAACTTTCACCTATTATTCATAACTCGGTACATTCATTTGTTTCTTGTTGTTTCTGTGTGTGTGTGTGTGTGTGTGTGTGTGTGTGTGTGTGTGTGTGTGTGTGTGTGTGTGTGTGCGTGCTTATATGTGCATGTGGATGCATCTGCATTTCTAAGGTTAAAATACTTACCCAGTATAAAACATAGAAAAATAAATTATGTAATACATTATTACTCAATTCCTGTCTGTATAAGATATGGCTCACTCTTTACATAAATTAGAATAATCCACTAGTTTTTTGAAAAAAAGAAGAATATTTTCATATTCATAAAGTAACAGAAAATCTACCCATAATATTTTACAATAAAATTAATGTCATGTATTTTTGCAATACGTACTGTACTGGTGATGAAACAACCACAATTATCTTCCTTTTGCACTGTTTTGTCTTCTTTTACTGGTATTTTTTGACAGCTATATCAAGAACCTCAAAAACTTTTTCATAGACGAGAGATCGAGCATCAGTGGCCCAGAGGAAGTCTAAGTGGCTGAACATAGGATTAGGGACTTTGTAGCATGCTTGAAGGTGTGGCAACTGCTTCTCTAAGTGATGAACATCCTACAGATTGAAGAAAATGCACTGTTAGTGTTACCATAAAAAAAAAAATTGTGATTTTTAATACAGTATAAAACACAAGTTAAGAGGATGCATAATGCTAACAGTCCACAAAACTACTGTAGTAAGTAATTTTGAGAAAAAAAAATTCAGGAACTGTATAGTAATCCTTCAAGAACCGAAATATAAACAATAATACAGTACAAATAAAATGCAATACAGGTATCCCTCACTATATGAACGTTTGAGATATAAAAATTCGCTTATACGAATTTTCTAAATTACCACCTAATTTATCATATTACAAAAGCTTCCCTCGCTTATATGAATTTAGAATCCAGCAAATCTTCTTTCCCCCTCCCCAGGAGTCAGTTGGGGTGGCCACATCCCCCTAGTCCTCTCCCTACCAGGCTGAGGTGTGAGTAATGTTATAGTTTATTCAACTTGTAATTTGGGGTAGATAAGTTTAACCTTCTTCACTTTTTTTTACTCAGTTACACATGTACACACTCCTATATACATAATGTGCAAAGAAAGTAAAAGAAATAACTATCATAAGGTCAAAATTTTAAAAGGAATAAGTATTTTTGTGTGTGCGAGAGAGGGAGTGGGTGAGTGGATTACTGTATTGTTTGTTAAATGTCAGCAGAGGCAGCATCCCCAGCCAGGCTGAGTTGCTATGATGAGGCTTGGGGCCAAGCAGCCAGGATCTACTGTATGCAAATGGTGATTGTGTTAAACTTTCATTAAGCTTTCCTTAATGGTTTTAGCTGCATATTTTCATCTAGATAGTATTTTATTAAGGTTTTTAATGTGTTAGGTAGTAAATTATAGTACTGTACTGTAATTGTGTACTACAGTAAGTCCTCGATTAACGTCGTGGTTCCGTTCCTGAAAACCGCGGCGATAACGGAAACAACGTTAACAGACTCAATTTTCCCCATAAGAAATAGATAAAATACGGGAGTTACGTTCCCCAGCCTCCCTTTGTCCCATAAAATACATTACATATACAGAAATTCAATGGCATTTTTATAGAGAATAGTATATATATAAATAAATTACAGTGGTCCCTCGGTTAACGAGCACAATCCGTTCTAGAAGGTTGCTCGTTAACCGAAACCATTGTTTCAATGGGTATTTGGGTAATTGGTTCCAGCTCACCGAAAATTGCCTAAATTCAACAAAAAAGGTAGAAAAGTACACTTACTTTGAGGTGTGTATGTAGAAGGCTCCTGGATGATGATGATGGGAATTAGAATGGGGGTGGAGAAGGGAGAAGAGAAGGCATTGGGGTGAAAGAGAAGTCACCCCATGGCACCATTTCACCCATAAAATTTTAGTTCTCTTGGTGCAATTCAAGAGTATTTTCTTTAAATAAACACTGCACTGCATTATATATTGTCAATATGTAAAATAAATTTCAAAATGACCAATAATTTGCTTGCAAACACAGAAAAAAAAGAGTTTAGTTGAAGAGTCTCGAGCAAGATGTTACCTCCACTGAAAAGATACAAAGACTGACGCCTGTATGGTGTGTTGAGAGGCTGGATGGCACGCATAAAACTAGTTTCATTACCTTCAATTATGTTCAATAATTGTTAAAATGAGTAAAAAATTTAATATTAAACTTTTAAAATTATTGAATAGTATAAACTTCTTGATATTTGCTAAAATGGTAAGGAATTTAAGCCCTAGAACCGATTACTGTATTGGCGGACTAATACTACAGCTGGTGGACCGCCAAATGCAAGCGAAATCATGTTCAGGTTGGCTCGTAAGAAACTCGTTAATCGAGGGATTGCTCGTTAACCGAAGTTAAGAATCTTATGGAAGGTAACTCGTTAACCGAGGGACCACTGTAAATCATTTTGTATTGTACTCACTGATGGGCGGAGGAGGGGGGGTGGTGAGTCACTGAGACCCGGCGGGTGGCTCCTCCTCCCGGTTTAAAACCTCCATTTTCATAGCAAGGCTAATGGTCTTATGTTGCTTCTTCACAACACTAGCATCAGTAGCACTTAATGGGCGCTTGGAAACCATTTCAAATGGTTAGAGTACAGTACAGTATTAAGAGCAAAAACACTTAAACACGCACGAATGCTGTGGTAGCTTAACAAAGACTGACGACGCTTGGGGACGCTGTGACTCTCCGCGGGTGAGAGCATAGCGTGCCAAGATGAGAGAGGGTGATGCGTCGTATAAAGTAGTCCGCGAGGACTTTTACTGAATCGGCGGGATGTTATCCGAATCATGGGTATCTAAAGAATAGCGACGTTATAATGAAACAACGTTATCGGGGGCAACGTTAAACGAGGACTTACTGTACTTATTATTAGTTAGGTAAGATTTTTGTTGTTCATAAAGTGATTTCATATTTTTGGGTATGAAGGTAAATCTGCCAATAAATTATTAGGTCTTATAAGAAGGTTGTTCAGATATCTAGACGATCCGTCACTCGTAACGATCTTCAAGAGTGAAGTGCTTCCCAACTGGAGTACTGTCACCCCGCCTGGTCCCCGAGATATACTAGGGACTGACATTTGAATGAAAATGTTCAAAGGAGGGCCTGCACTTCAGCACCTCAACTACCCTGAGAGATTGGAGCGCCTGAACTTGCTTAGCTTATACTACAGACGGGCAAGGGGCAACCTAATTGAGGGATATAAGCATCTCAAGGGGCACTAATCAGTCGAGTGTCCTTACCTGGAGCTGGCGGACGCTCGCCCCCACAAAGGGTCACAGCTCAAGATTGAAGAAGCCGCAGGCCCAGAAAACTGTGAGGGGTAACTTTTTCGGAGTGAGAGTTGTGAACTCTTGGAACAATCTGCCAGAGAGTGTTGTGACATCACCGAGTGTGAGCTCTTTCAAGACCAGACTTGACCAACACTGGAGCAGGTTCAGATACATTCAGGAGCCAGTGCATGCCCAGTACTTGCCAACAAGGCATAACAGAGACGTGACCGACTGCCCAAGCAGCTAACGAGCCGATTAGTGGTGAAGAGGATAAAAGTAAGTAAAAGATATTGGGGTTTTCTTGTCATTGGGGAACTGAACCCTATTTTTCTCATTGTGCTCCTTTATTCTCTATACAAAAACTCACTTAACAAATGGTTTTGAGGAACATAACCCATTCGTATTGTGAGGGATACCTGTACCTCCCACAGTCCACTGTGATGATCCCATGTTTTCAGGATATCAACATCCAAAGAACATTAAAGTTATTCTCTACCTTCTCGCCTGCCAGCCAATCATTATTTGCCCAAAACATTGTGATGGGAACCTTGATCTTTGTAACATCATATTCTGGAGGCTCAATCTGACCATAGTGCAGTAGATTCTTCTTCTTGCCCCAGTCAAAATTCTGGAAACGTCCTGCAGTGCAAAAGATCAAGAAATACAAAACATTTAATTTACATTACACAAATGAAGTAAAATACCCAAATTCTGGATTAAACCAAGATACCAATGATCTGAAATATAAATAAAGTTTTAATATACAGTACCAGAGTACTGAATGTGCAAGATTTAACAGCTTTAGCACTTTTTTTCTTAAAATTCAAGAGTAAGACTTTATTACAGATACAGCAAACTCCCTCTAAACCAGACTAATTGGGGGAAAGCCTGTCCAGTTTGAAATTTTTTTTGGGTTGGATGGGGGTCTGTATTGTCTATACTGAAGGGTAAAAATTTCCAGAGGGTGGGGGAATTTTTGAGTCAAGCTATTCATAGAAAGCCGAACCTACTGTTATTTTTAGCATAGACTTAACACCTTTCAGGTTTTTATATGCCATATGAAATTTTTTAAGATGCTTAGGGTGGTACAAGAGTTAGTTTTTCCTCAGTCTTTCATACACTTTTGGCAGCTTAGTGGTGGCTCTTGGTGAGTCACTGAGTGGCTGGTGTTGCCAGCAGCTCTCTTATGCCTGGCAGCAGTGTTTATTGTCTTGGTTGTGACACAGCTCCATTCATGACTTACACCCCAAAAATACCTACATTTGAGGCCCATATCATATTTATATACTTTTTGGTATTAAAATGGTGTTTCTAACTTAATTAGAACTGATTTTATAGACTCCGGTATAAAAATTTCTTTCGTTTTTTCATAAATGAATTGAGTTCTTATCATATCATGTTTAAAAATTTTGTTTAACCCTTACACCCTGGGTGACATTCCAGAACGCCCAACTAGCATGCCCTGGGTGACGTTCCAGAACGTGCGCCTTTTCCCGCCACTGTTTAAATGCCCAGCGTGGGTTATCAGGTTCCAGCCTGTCACGCCACACACTCGGCCACAGGGAAGCTTCCTGAACGTTATTACCTAACTACAGGGGTACTGTACATATTAATTTATCATGAGGCATTTGAGGTAGGAGGTGACTGTATGACACTCACAAAGTACTAGTACGTTACTGAAGGTGGAGAGGAAGTTTGTTTTCACCGCTAATTTCATTCACTATACCGGTATGTACTGTACACTATTTATATTTCTTAGACACTTCACTTTAGTGCTCCTCAGCAATCACCTGCTCAGAGGCAACTTCTGAGGTACCCTCTTGTGCCACAACAGTGGCAGTCCACGCTTACATGAACCTTCCCCCATACTAACCAGATTTGGGTTGTGTTTTGGGGGGTTGGGGTATGCATGTGTGTCCGGTGGTGGACCCCTGTCTGGTTTGCAAGGGGATCCGGATTAAATGAACTTGGGTTTGAAGGAGTTTACTATTCACAAATTTATGAATAAAGCTTGAAACATATCTAGTGTTTGAGGAGTTACAATTTGGATTTACCTGAGTTAAAGCCCTGGGCAAAATGGAAGAGTGTTTGTGTAGATGCTCCTGCTGGGTTGTGGGAGAGGATGATTGGGACCATTCCCTGTGACAAGATGAAATTATTAGCATTATGAATGTAGAATGATGGTATACATTTAACGTAAAAGAACAAATTGACTAAAACTTTTTAACCATCGACTGAATAGATGCATCCATATTGACTGCAATAATGTTCATAAGGTATGATTAGAGAATGTATGTACATTATTTGGTAAGTACAAATTCCAGGGTTGTATTTTATATTCTGTAGGGAAGGAGAAGAAAGAGAGGTAATTAAAAATAATTAAGTTGATATTCAAGTACTGTACATCCCTTTTACACTTTAATTTCTTTAGCTAATTGAGAGAAAGATGCACCATGCAATAGTTTATCTTAGAAACGTAGTTTTGAAAGGTTTAAAGTGCTCTGTGAAGGCAGAACTTTCTTCCTTAAAACGTTTTATTAAAAAGAGTAGAATTCAAAGTTGGAAGGAATGGGAAAGGCCAAAGAGATGGAAGGATGGGGGTGAAGGATACACAAGAATTGATGGGAAGGATATCCATAAAGCAACAGTGTGAGTGAAGAGCATGGCATCACAGCAATATGGTTTTGTGGAGATTTGGGTAAACTTAATTTGGGGCATTACTGTGAAAAGGAATCATTTTTAACAAAACACTTTTATTACAGCGATAAGAATTAAAACAAAAGGGAGCATGATTGTGTATTTACACTCAATTCTGGCCACCCTGCAGTAAGTGGGAAAAGTTTTAAAATTGAAGTTGTATCTTCAGCAACTTATTCACTAATTTTTGCCTAGTAAAATACACTACAAAAATTAGTACCCGATAAATACTGTACTACTTTTGAGCACTACAAAGGAGACTTAGCACTAAAATGAAGACTTACCTGGTCAGCCCTGGAAGGGTCAAAGCCTGTTATAATAAATTGTAGATTCTCACAAAAGGTGTGGCTCCTACATACGCGATAAGGGTCCCACAAGGAGATTAGAAGTCTGTTTGTCATCAAATCCTGGTCATTTCCAAACAGCCGTAACACAAACTAGAATATCAGGAAACATTTCATCCCATGTATCATGCAATATCTTTGAGTCATGAAAATATCATCCACCATGATATGTTATATATTAGCTGTGTATTGTTAAACACCTGAAAGCTATATGCCAGTATTGTATTGCAAAGTACATAAGTTGCCAAGTTACTGACATAGCTACCTTAAGTATTTACATTACTGTAATCAGGCTTTTATCTAACACAGAATAGGTTTTTCATGGTGGTATACACTTTATGTAGAAGTAATATCTCCGTTAGCTGAAATCCCTCAAATCCGGAACTCTCCGATAGTCGGAACTAAAATTTTCTGAGGGGCACATTTTCCGGAAAAATAAAGACAATTTTCCCGATATCCAGAAAATTCCGGTGATGGAGTGTTTTCCCGGAAATTCTGAGAAAATTTTTCCGTTACCCGGAAAATTCTGGGGATGAGGGATACGGTTCCTCCCCGACTTAAGACGGGGTTAGGGACCCAAATCCAGGTCGTAAGTTGAAATGGTCGTAAGTCGAAAATGCTTAAATACTGTAATACATAAAAAATCTAAAATGGGTGTCTCTTTTTCTTCTCAGCACCACAAAACTCTCACTTTTAAGCTTGCCAGCCATTTTAAAGTGAATTACAAACGAAAATTTTGTCTGTGTACTGACGTTGGGACTCGAAAATACGTAATTTGACAAAATTTTGGTATGACTGAGGCAGGTCGTAAGTGCGGGTGGTCATAAGTCAAGTAGGTCGTAAGTCGAGGAGGAGCTGTATTTTTCCGGGTTCAAGAGATGATGCAATGGGCAATTTCTGGAAATTCTGAGAAAATTTTACCGTTACCTGGAAAATTCCGGGGGTGAGGGATTTTTTCCGGCTTTGAGAGAGTCATCTCGTTACCCGGAAATCTCTCATTCCTGGAAGTGCTCTGCACCAATTGTTCCGGCTTATGGAGATATCACTGTATTATTTGTATATTATACTGTATGCTCTTATTCTGTTATGTTAGGTCAAGATTGTATGAAAATGAATTATATCTTGAAGGTAAGTTTATAATTTTTAACTTACAAATTTAGAATTTTTTGTTTTGTACATTCTTAATAGTTATACATACACTTCATTGGGTAGTGTCAATGATTGGTACCAAGTTAAATACTTCATTGGCATCAGGGTTTACTAATAAGAAAAAACTAGGGAAAAAATATCTTAAAAATATTTAGAAAGATGTGATAAGTTCAAAACAAATATTATTACTGTACTTTGTGACTGCATTGAATAATGCAGTTATGATGGAAATTAATGTTCCAGCTGAACTGGCTGAAGAGTGTAACTGTGAATACTTACAAGGGAAAATGTGATGCACTTGAATGTGGGAACAAAAGGGGCTTGAAGCTGATAGATCAGGTAATGAAAGTTGTAGGAGTGATTGATTAATTGATAAGGGAGAGACTGGGCAGTTATGAAATGCAATTTGGGTTCATGCCTGGTAGGGGGGACTATAGAGACAATATTTATGGCCAAGCAACTACAAGAGAAATATCTTGGGAAGGAGAGAAAGCTGTATTTTTATTTGTAGACTTAGAGAAGGCATTTAACAGGGTACCATGTGGGGTAGTGCAATGGGCAATAAAAAAATTAGGGGTCAAGGAGTGTCTTGTATGAGTAGTCATGGCTTTGTATACAGGCTCAAGAACCTCTGTGAGAGTAAATGGTGAGGAAAGTGTTAGAGGCACTACTGTGAGATTTTAGGACTGGTCTGCCCTGGGAGTTATTGTATGCTGACGACTTAGTGTAGAGGTAGTGGATAAATTTAAGAAATGGAAGGATGGAGTGAAATCAAAAGAAATGAGAATGAAAGTGGCAAAAACAAAAGTAATGATTAGTTGTGTGGTTAAAAAGTGAAAAAATTGCCATGTGCTGTTTATCAGAAGGGTGTTGGTAAGAAGCCAATAATGATCAGTGGGTGTGAAAGCTGGATATACAAGTGGTGAAGTGGAATAAATGGCAGACAAAAAGATATTGCTGACTTAAGTGTGCTGTATTTACAGGTTATCATTTGGCCTTAGCAAGCTGGAAAAGCTCGACATTGGAAAAGTACCAGTTTCTCTGGACTGTGTTGATGAGTTCTGCTACCTGGGTGACTCAATCAATCCTGGAGGTAGTGCTGGGGTTAGCACATTTGCAGAGTGACTGGAAGAAGTTTAGGGAGCTGTTGCTTCTATTGATGGTGACAGGACTTTCACTTTGTATTAATGGAAAGATGTATGCAACTGGCATGAAAAGTGGGAAGTTTTAAGATATTGAAACATGGGCAATTAAAGAGGGTGACATACATAAATTTGAATTAGCTGAAATAAGAATGGTGAGATGGGTGTGTAATATGACATTGAAGCTAGGAAAGCAGCTGGGCATTGAGAAATTGGTGAAGTTTTGCATAGAGTTAGGCTGAGATTGTTTGGTCAAGTAAGGAGAGTGGAGGAGACCAGTTGGGTCAAGAAATATTTGAATTTAATTATAGAGGGGAGGAGGGAGAGCAAGGGGTAGGCCAAGATTGACTTGGAGAGAGGCTAATTGGAAAGCTAACATTAGGTAATCATGGCTAACCTGTGCAAGCTTAGAAAATGGCCAAAGAATTGTGATAAACATGATGATGAAGTAAAATTACTATTTTACCATGTTTTAACATCACTGGTCCGGATTCCGCCACACCCAAGTTGGAATTTAAAAAGAAAAAAAAATCTTATACCCTGTAATACAGTTCAATGTAACCAAGTGTTATGAAGTGCTGATTCAAAATATGTGGTTAAACTTACTTGCAACTCATTGACAAGTGGTGCCAGGTATTTGATGGGGGAGCTGATGCTGGTGACTGTAGCAACAGGGGCCAGAGCTATCATTGACGCAATCTTTTGTTGATACTCTGGTTGGGAACTCATGAGGGCAAAGAAAACTGTCGTACCCATAGAGTGTCCCAGATAGTGGAGCTTTTCCACTCCTGTCTGGAGTATAACATAGTCCAGCATAGCAGGAAGGTCATAGTGTGCCATCTCATCATAGCTGTGATATAAAATGTAATGGTTGTACTGAAGATGCCATTATGAACTGCATTACAGTATGTATATACAGTAGTCACACTTCAGTGGTAAATTCAGAGAATGTGTATAAAGTAAAGATACATCCCACTTTTTCTAACCGTATGTCTTGCCCAAGTAACATGTATATTATCCCACCAAGACTGCAGGATTAAAAATCTAGGACAATCTACAGGCAACCACCTAGATATTTACAACACTCACCAAATAAGATAGAAGCCAAAGACAAAGTAAAAATCAGAAATGCTCAAAAGCATACAATGTGCATGCAAAATTTTTTTTTGCACATTATGTCTATAAACTCACCTAAATCTCCAAAAATGAGGGTCATTGTGAGTGAAGTTCATGTGTTTTCGAGAATAAATGTTACCACGAAAATTGCCCATCCACACATCATACCCAGCATCTGACAGTAGATAGGCTGTAAAAAATACAGAAAATTAAAATGGTTGCTATTACAGTACTGTACTTTTTGTTTTTGTTTGTTTTTAGTATTTCACCACTCTGCTTACTAGCCATTCAGGTGGTTGGTCTATCCAATGTTAGAACAAAAGGAGACTGTTTAGTAGGGTCACATCTACTCTCACTGGATAGCAGCCATTTCATATGTGTCCAGGCTTGCAGGACTCAAACCCTTGATAAATTGGTGAGGGATACACATGTCACTGCTGTACCACCACTGTACAGTATTAGTTCCTAGGTAAGATTATTAATTAAGTGCAAATTCACTGATTTAAAATTAGATGTACTGAATGATAGATATTAAGAGAATAGATGCTAGATGTAAGAGCTGGATCATTGATAAGGCATATGGCTTAATGATGGGTTTGTGAAGGAGGGATAAGGATAACTGGGTAGCACCTCTAAATGTGGATGTAAAAATCCATGTGAGGGTGGACAAGCTTCTGAGAGCATGAGTAGCTGGGTGGAAGAGAGAGAAGAATCCTGTAAATGCAGATAATAAAATTAAGTTTTTAAGGCATTCTGTTAAGACATATGTAGGCTCTAAGCTGAGTATGTAACAACCAGCCATGAAAACTTGAAATAAGACAAACCTATAGAAGTTTTGTTGAAAATAAAGTTCAGCTGAAAATTATCATACCAGGAAAAGAAATGTAGTACATATACTTCAGTTTTAAAACCACCAAATTAGATAAAGTTAGCATTATCCCAAGTGACAAATGATTTGAAATTGGACATTACATTTATGTACTACAATACTGTACTCTGATGAAATTTTGATGGAGGTGTTATGAGCAGGGTGAGTGGAAAGATTGTTTTTCTGTGAATATCAGTTTGTCCCAATTTTATCAATTACAACTTGGTTCCGAAATTCTGAAATTATTAGAGCTGCTTACAACATTACATAATACAGGCCAGCCTCATTCTCTGTTTAATCTTATTTCCTCCTTCATTGATTTGTTATGATTCCCTCACCTGAAAAAAGGAAAAAGACAGAACAAAATTTCCTATTGTGTATGGCTTATGGGAAATCATATATATTCAGGCATTCCTTGTTTAATGTTATTTCATTTAATGTTAATTCAATTCAGCAATAAAATTTTTTGACACCCTTTCTCACTTAACCTTAGGTCAAAATTTGGTTTAATTATAGCTTGACTTACTGGGAAGAGGAAAAAACTGGGGATGAGGTGGCCTGTGAGATGGCATGCTGCCATTGTTACATGTATATTAACTATAAGTCATGGAAAAATTGTTGCAATACTTAATCAAGGCAAAAAAAAAAAAATAATAATAATAATAACAATAATACAAAAATTTCATGCGTATAACTGTCAGACAAAGGGCTACATGACAATTTAAATTGACCAAATAAAATTTATACCAAATGTTAAAGATCATCTTGTGTTTCTCATGATGACAATATATATGTTTGTTTGTGACTGTTTCCATAACTTAATAAATTCCAGGAGATAAAGCTGATGGAAGATCACTGTTTATTCAGGGATGGATGAGTTGTATACTTAAAGTTTCCTGGAATTGGGGAGAATATCTAAGGACAGTGGTAGTAAGAAAAACTTGTAAGGGGTTGACATAAATTTTTAGTCATAGTCATTAACTTTAGAACATGAATACTGTACCATCTGACTCAGGAGTTTTGTAAGATTAGGGTGTTGGAGATTGAATAAGTTGTTGATACTATACAAAGTAAAGGATGGGTATACTGTAAGGGGTTTGGAGGAAAGTGCTTTCCTGGATCAAAAATAAAATTTTTGGCATTTAAATGATTTGCCCTGTCTTGGGTTGTAGCTCCTGCAGTTAGAGGAGGTTAAGTACAGTACAGTACAGCACTGTAAAAGCAAAAATGTTAGGTTGAAAAGATATATATTCATATAGTCAGACACCACAGTTCATGGTGGATTAATATGGCAAAATTGTGTTGATGCATTTGCATTTTTTGTGGCTTTCTAACATGATAAGTTGAACAATGGAAGACAGGCAGGATGATACTGTACAGTTCTGTAGTTCCAGTAATGTTACTGATACAAATGGAAGTTATAATTTAACTTATTAGTGATTTTTTTTTTATCATTTCACCACTTAACAATCTGCTAGCAGTTTGTTACTTTTTTATGATATCTATTGTCATGAGAAGTTCATCGGAGCCATCCCAATCAACCATAATAAACTGCCAAATGAGATTTAAATGGGGATTATTTGAGAACATAGGTACAGTGCAGAGAGAACCTTTTATTGAATACCACTTACCTAAAGAGTCTTCTTCTGTATTGGTGTTCCAGTTGTCAGAGGAACCCATTAGCCCATGTTGGAGGAACACCACTTTATTTCTAATGAGAGAAGTGTCCTGAGTATGTATTTCTCCATTGTCTTCCGACCTCCATTTGTTCTCCACCTTGCCTGGAACTTCGGGGCCAAAGGCATTGCCTTGTTGATTTACTGAAGCACTGAAGGTAACATTGATGTATGGATCTCTCTTATTTTTCCTGTTGAGATATGTACAGTACAGTCAAAAATTAACTATACAGTGTGTGTATATATATATATATATATACTGTATATATATATATATATATATATATATATATATATATATATATATATATATATATATATATATATATATATATATATATATATATCCCTCTTAAATAAATAAATAAATATATATATATATATATATATATATATATATATATATATATATATATATATATATATATATATATATATATATATATATATATATATATATATATATATATATATATCTCCTTCTTAACCGGAACTCTCCGATATCCGGAATTTAAATTTTTCATGGAAAATTTTTTCCAAAACCAGAATTGTCCACACACACACACATTTTTACATTGGAAAATACTTGTTCTGTTCTAGTATAGTACTTTACTCCTCTTATACACTGTCTATCCACTGATTCACACAACCATCACCTATCAGCAGCACATCCTTCCCCAAAAATCACTTACTGCCATGGTTTCTATTCATTCCCACACATTGCTGTTTTCTGAATGTTTATACCTACACATCTAGTGCATTTTTCACTCTAACCTTTCATATCCTTCTTGGTCTTTCCCCTTGCTTCCTTCCATACTGTGCACTCTTTACCAGCCTATCACCCCTCATTCTCTTGTTTTACAGTATTGTACTGTATGTGTGTGTGTGTGTGTGTACAGTATACTGTATACTTATGTGTGATTGTATACATTATTTATGTACGTATGTAACTTTAAGTGTATAAATGATATAGTACAGTAATATTTAACTAGACCTGATGGTGATGGAGCATCTGGCAGGGTTGGCATAGGGAGACAAGTGATGTATAGTAAGAATGTAGCCGTCCTCAGTCACTACAGTGTGATCTTCCACATGGTATCCAGCCTTCTTCCCCAGAGCTCCCTGTAACACATTACGTATACCTACTATAGTAAATTTATATTAACTCACAGTAAAATGATAAAACTGTAAAAAAAATACCTCAAGCCACTAATGATCTCACATACATATTCTGAATACCAATGTACTTCATGCCTGAAATTTTCAGAAAAGTTCATGGAACATTTTATCTGATATGGCTCTGAGAAAAAAATCTGTACAGGTATTGCCCCAAACCCAAAAATGATTCAAACAACTAATTCCTTCACATACCTACTTTGTGTATTACATCTGGCCAGGTTAAATTTCGAAAACTAGAAAAATTGATCAGCCTGTTTTTAAGATTTCTGATTTTTACGCTTCTACCTATCTTCCCCATAACAATAATATGAGTAGCCAAGATATAGGTGTTAAGGATGCAGGTAGATGGGATTTGAATGATAAGACTGAAGTATCCTTTTCCCATCTTAGGTATGGTCCATACCTAAGATGGAATCCATACCGTATGGATTCCAACTTCACATGGTTTGGGTTAGATTAGGTTTCAAAGCATGGAAAATTCAGATAATGGCAGCACATGAGATCAATACTCTGCTCTTCCAGTCAATATCTATGCTATGGTCTCTCCCAGAGGATACATTACTGTGTACTGTGGACCATCTGGATGTACAGTAGCTAAAAAAGTATCTATACATACTCTGTGTGAAACCTCTGAGATCACGGATGATAGGTATTGGGATATGCGTGTTGTCTCTTTAAACTATGTGATAGTAATCACTTAACTGTTTACTTTATTCCTATATGCCAACTCACCCCATGTTGGATAGTAAATGGAGGTGGGCGAAGACAGCATACCAACCCTCCTGAGACATCATGAGTTTTATGTATAATTTCGGAAGTCATCAGACCCACCCTGTCAGATACTTTTTTTAGCTAATGTACATATACTGTACACTAACACCTAATAGATTTACTTTGTTTGAACATTAGCCATATTGCTCGATTGTGATTGTTCCCAGGCTAACATGGGCAATAAAGAAATTGAAGTTTACAAGAGAAAAAGCAGTCCTGTAGGATATACAATACTGTACAGTATGCTATACTATACTGTACTTGGCAGAATCACTTTCTTTAGTGTTGAGGAAAAAAAATATATTGTATGAGTTTTGGCTTGGGGATAATAAGTCACAGGAAACATTCTTGTAATTTTTCTAGTAAGCATGATAATGTGTAGGTTCGGTTGGGCATGGCAACTGACTTTTTTCCTGTAACTTTTTTCATACATTTGTTAACTTGTGTCTTCAACTATTATTTCTGTTTTGGAGATCTGGAAAGTTATGCATTAAGTCACCATGCAACATGATTAGTAGCTGAAAAGAAATGTTTAACATAGCTTACTTGAAAAAGTTGTACAGGGTATTGTATTCAGCCTTTTCAACCATAAATTTTATGATAAGAAAGTATCAATCTAATATTTTTCTGATCAAATGAAATGGGTAAATAAATACAAGCCCTAAAATAGGAGAAGAACTAGGGAAGGGGTCACAGCTCTATTAGTCTTATAAGAAGGTCATTCATACACCCTTGTAATGCTCCTTAAAATCAGATGCTTCCCCATTTGGAATCTGTGTGGTCCCTGAAATATGTTACAGACTGTCACTTGATTGGAAATGTCCAAAGGAGGCCACCAGACTCAGCACTGGTTACCCAGTGATATTGAAATGCCTGCAGTTGCCCATCTTATACTAGAGGTGGGCAAGGGGTGACCTAATATAAGTCCAACAAAGAGCCCCAGTAAAGACAGTCCAGAGACAGGAGTAGGCATGGCCTGTGGAGGGTGAAGAGGGTGAGACACAGGCCATGCCTACACCTGTCTCTGGACTGTTTACCACGGCTCTTTGTTGGACCAGGGGATACAGGATACCCCCTCACTACAACTCTCTGCGCCATTGGCCCATTCTGATGATATGCATGTGGACTACATATCTGTGTCAGAAAGGACGTCCCTTATCAACCTCTCGACCCTTCCTCCTCCTCATCGCTGCAACTACTAATGCACATGTCATCACACTCACACTAAAAGGTTTGGCCCTTAATACTGTCAATGCCTATGTGCCCCCCTCCACTGTGCCTATCCTACCATAGGACAGTCCCCAGCCATCACCAATGCGCCTTCCTCCTGACTAAATATCCCTCCTCCTTCAGACAAGCTTGGCACTTGACTTATTAGGGACTTAACATAAACAGGTGTATTGTATCAGGAATTCTGCCACCCCCCCACCCTAACCCTGTCACTATATGTAATATGCCAATACAGGTTGACAATCCCTTATCCGAAATCCTTGGGGCCAGGGGCATTTCGGATTTCGGAATTTTTCGGTTTTCAGAATGGTTAGTTTTTTTTTTTTTTTTTTTTTTAATGTGTATTAGCTCACCCGGGCATAGATCACTGACCCACATCAGGGCCTCAGGGGCGAAAATATAATAATAAAAATAATAATAATAATAATAATAATTCATAGGTCTAGGTCATGTTTTTCACTTTTGATCTTTTATTCATTCTTGTATTTCTTTATTACTGTGCAGTATTATTATTATTATTTTATTATTACAGTATTATTGTTATTATTATTAATTTTATTATTATATTTTATTATTATTATTATTATTATTGTAATCATTATTATCTTATTTTGGTATTTTTATTAAAAATTTTATTTACTATAAATATTTATTATTATTATAATTATTATTACTACAGTATTACATTTTCGCCCCCAGGCCCTGATGTGGTCAGTGATCTATGCCCGGGTAGGCTAACCCCTGTTTAAAAAAAAAATTGCTCCACAAAATTTTTTTTCGGTTTTCAGAGCTTTTTGGTTTTCGGAATTTCGGATTAAGGGTTGTCAACCTGTACCATATAATCCATGGCCATTCAGGCACTCGCCCCCTTAAATGCATGAGTCAAGAAGGCAAGCATGAACTCCGCATGCTTTTCTGTTAAGCGCTGTAACCACTTTTGCGCTTTGCCTTGCCCAGGAAGCAAGGGAGTGCCCAATATACTAACCCCCTCGCAGAGCAAAACTTATAAAAAAATAAAAATGCGCATCACTCTTTGCCTCTCATTCATTCTACATGATGCAATATTGTTTATTTGTTTTTCATTAATTTGTAAAGATACGTTACTGTAATAATGTGTGCTAATTAATACCCATACCCTTCAAATACAATACTGTATATAGTATCTCATAGGTAAAAAATAATGCCAACAGGAATGTATCTCCATATATGCAATGGTTCCAAATTCATTTCTCTAACACAATTAGAGTAGATGTAAATAAAAGTTAATAACTTTTTCGCTAGCCATAAATAAATTTGCTACTTAACTTTCGTCTTCAGGTCATGAGACCCATTAATCCCCCTGACAATGGGTGACCTGACATTGCATAAGAACACTAATCCCCCACCCCACCCCCACCTAACACTGATTAGGTCAAGTCAAGAACATGAGACCCACTAATCCCCCCCTTTCTACACCTCCAGCGCAACATTTCTTACGTTTTTTTTTTTCACAAAATACAGGTCCCATCATTGTTTTCATGCTTTTGTGACTGAAGTGAGCAGTGTAACTTTGAAAATGTCTGGCAAGCTTGTTGCTCACCATCTTTAAGGCCAACACGAAGGCTACACCTCTAGTCCCCACTCTTCAGACTCCTCAAAGTCTGTGTGGGACTCAGGTTGATGTCTCCACTCCACCTTGAGAGTCCCCTTAGCCTCGAAGAGGGCATTGATGACGACCAGACTTTTTCTTAATAATGTGGTGAGTGTTTAATTGTTTTCTACTGAGAGTAGTACTGTAGTTTTTTTCCAGTGGTACTTACATGTGGGTGTCCGACTGGCCAGGAACCTATCACATTGAACCCCATGTTATACTGATCCTGATTTATGATATTTCGACCTGTGATGGGGTTTGAAAGGACCTAACCCCATCTTAAATAGAAGTTTACCAGTACAGTACTGCGCTTCAAAATCGCCCTTGACAAGACTATCTTGGTCAAAGGCCTCCCTCGGCATGTCCACCTCTAGTTTTCTTTTCTTTTATCCTCTTCACCACTGATCGGCTCGTTAGCCGCTTGGGCGATCGGTCACGTCTCTGTTACGCACTGTTGGCAAGTACTGGGCATGCACCAGCTCCTGAATGTACCTGAACCTGATCCAGTGTTGGTCAAGTCTGGTCTTAAAAGAGCTCACACTCGGTGCCATCACAACACTTTCTGTTAGATTGTTCCAAGAGTTCACAACTCTCACTCCGAAAAAGTTTGCCCTTACAGTTTTCTGGACCTGTGGCTTCTTCAATCTTGAGCTGTGACCCCTTGTGGGGCGAGCGTCCGCCAGCTCCAAGTAAGGACACTCGACTGAGTAGTGCCCCTTGAGATGCTTATACACCTCAATTAGGACGCCCCTTGCCCGTCTGTAGTATAAGCTTGGCAAGTTCAGGCACTTCAATTTCTCAGGGTAGTTGAGGTGCCGAAGTGCAGGCACCAGTCTGGTGGCCTGCAGAACATTTACAACCAACTGACAGTCCCTAGCATATCTCAGGGACCAGACGGGGTGACAGTACTCCAGATGGGGAAGCACTTCACTCTTGAAGATCGTTACGAGTGACGGTCTAGATATGTGAACGACATTCTTATAAGACCCAATAATTTATTTGCCTGATTTACTTTTTTCTCGCAATGGCCCAAGAACTTTAGCTCATTGTCAACATACATACCTAGGTCATTCTCACATTCAGTCTCAAATAGTGCAGTTTCTTCATCCTGTTGGGACATATGATACGCCTCCTTACCGTTGGTATGCCCTAGGTGCATCCTCTTACATGGGGCGGCCATGAAGTAAATAAGGTAAATAAATTTTTGTCTCAAATAAAATCAAATTTAAAGATAATAATAGTGTACAAGGAAGAGCTGAGAGTTTTCTTACATCCAATAAGATATCAGTAAGACAATGGCAGTCATTAAGCC